CGTCCTAGGAGGTAGGCAATTGGGGGTGGGGAGTTTTCTATTTCTGTGTCCCACCCATCCCGCTGCACCATTCCTGGACTCCACTGAGGCCACTCTCCCCTCTCACGTACTGCTGGGCACAGCGTGGTGGCCTCATCCAGCCGGGCTGGAAATCATGGGCTGACAGAGGCATCATCTGACTCCCAACCTCTTCCACAGCCAGCCTGCTGACTGCACCTTCTAGGTGTCTCTAGAATCCCTCCCTTCACTACCTCCCTGCATCCTCCTGCCCCCAGTTGAGACCTCAGCCGTTCTCACCTGGCTCCCTGCCCTCCCCACCTCCACTCCGTCCCCTCAGCACTCTTTCTCCGAGATTTAACCACAGTGGCCCTTGCACAGCCCGAGTCTGCCTGGGCTCCCACTGCCCAGGATGAGTGCAGGCTCTCCAGCCCTGCCTCAGGCAACGCCCTCCCCTCCTCACACTGGAGCCAAATGCTTTCAGTTCCCAAGTGCAAGACACTGTACACCCAGCTCCCTGTAGGATCACTTCCCCAGTCTGGCCCGATGGTGTAACTCTCTCAGGCACCGGCTCAGGCAAACGTTCCTGCCTGGGGTTTCCTGGCCTGAGCAGCGATCCCCTGGGTGGTCTCGGTGTGTCAGTTTGTGTCTGTCTGCTCCCCTGCCGGCCTAGGAGCCCTTCAGGGAAGGGGGGACCGGCTCTGATACACCTGTGGCCTCCAGGCCCAGAGCAGGCATCATGATGGTTTGTTGATTGAATAAGTAACCAGTGCCTCCCAGACAAGACTGGTGTGGAACAGGGGAGCGGGCACAGGACTGGGGGTGCGAGCAGGGGCTGCACAGGCTGTGCCTGTAACTCCTCAGCTTGAATTAATCACTTACTCTCCCTGGAGCCCCATCCTTAAGATGGACGGGGTCAAATGGCCTCACAACAGCCTTCGAAAGGCAAGAGTCGACGGTCACTGTCTCCTTTGGGGTCCGGGGCTGGGAAGTTCCTCCAGGCATCTGACCTGTATCTCTTTTGCTACAGAGAAGCTGGTACTGACACTGGGCTGCCTCCCACCGCCGCCCAGTCTCCAGGGGTCGCCGTGGGCACGGCCTGAGAACTGTCTTCTGTCCACCAAGGCCCTCACTGGCAGCATTAGAGTAATGAGTCACGGACAACAACTAAATTCATTAGCCCCGGTTATAAAAAGCTTTGCTTCCCCTTCCCAGAGTGAGCGAGCCGCCTTCTGTTGCCAGGCTCCTCCACCCACTGAGCTGGGGCAGGAGAAGGGCTCACTTCACCTCTCTGGTCCTCAGTTTCCTGTTTCCTTATTTGTCAAGTGTGTGTCCTGGGGGGAGGGGACCGTGTGAGCCAAGGCTCGGGGCAGGAAGGAAGGAGGCCAGTTTGGTCAGCAAGGAGGGGGCTCCTACCCAAGCTCCCCCCGCCCCGCACCCTCCCCGGGCTCCACTCCAGTCCTGCAGGGCCAGGCCCAGCCAGGGCAACACAGAGGGTCCGTCGTGTGGCAGGGAAGACACTCCCCATCTTGTCCAAAACGCTCCTGGTCCAGTGCTCTTTCTCCTGCATCAGGCAACTTCCCACGTCCTCTCCGCCCTGCTGTTCTTTTCCTTCTTGCAAGCTCTCACGAAAAAACCACCTTGAATCAAAACACAGGACTCCTCCCCTACAGCCTCCATCTTCCTGAGGCTCTTGCTGCAAACCTGTCCCAGACTACAGGTGTGACATGGCCTCGGTTTCTGACCTATAAGTGGGGCATAGAAACTAAACACGCCCCACAGGGGTGTTACACAGCGAACAGGGCCAGGCATGTAAGCCATATGCTCCCCCAATACAACAGGTGCTCAATACACGCTCACTGCTAGTCTCACACTTCGCTCCCCAGCCTCCTGCCTGACTCACCACCCGTCTGTCACCCCATTTCACAGATGAGGCCCAGGGAAGTGGGCTTCACAGAAGAACTTGACCCCAGGCTTCTGAGTTGGGAGATGCAGGTGGGGCGGGGGCTCCCCTAAGAGGACCTGAGGGGAGGGAGTGCCTAGGCCAGTCCCCAAAGGAGAGGGTGCGGTGGGGATGAGGAGAGGCAGAGGCCCAAAGTTGGACGCCACCCCTTTGCTGAGGCCTCTCCTCCACCCCCAGCCCTAGTGGCTCTCCTCTCCCTCCCCAGCCTGTGCTCCCGGAGCTCGCTCCAGGGCCTCCATTTGTTCAGCAAAATTTACGGAGCACCTTTTCGGCACCAGCCCTGACTCTGAGACACCAGATGGCTGTTCCCTTCACTGTGTCAGGCCAGGGAGCCAGCACCCCATCACAGTCCTCACCCAGCTGTCTCCGAGGGACTGGGAGAGAAAAGAGAAAAGGGTGAGCAGGCTGAGGCTGAGGCTGAGGCTGAGCCCGGGAAGTGGGAGGGGAAGCAGGAGCGGAGTGAGTGACAGGGAAGGGGGTGGATGCTCATCCTTAGCTCAGAGTCTCAGGGTCACCTGAGGTGAGCTCAGCCCCTTCTGCAGAGGCCCTGCCACCCCGAGCTGCTGCAGAGCCCTCTCCCCTCTCCCAGCCACTGGCTGGCTCGTGACCTCCTGCAACCCTTCCTGCTTCTGCCCCATACCTGGCCCCAGACCTTGGTATTTGCAGAGCCTGTACCACGTAGGCTCCCAGTCAGCTCAAAACCAGCCCCAGCCCCACTTCCTCCACTCTGGGCCCTGTGCTGGCCACAGCCAAGACGCATCACTTCCTGACCCCACAGCCTAGGACTGGCTGGCCCGTGCCCACCAAGGGGTGTGTTCTGGGAGACACACCTTCCTCCAGGGCCTACTGCCACAGCCAAGGGACTGTCTGCGTGGAAGCTCAGCCATTCGCTCCCTTCCTTCGCCTCAGCTGTCTACCCACCCCCACCAAGAGCTTTCTACCTACACTGCCTGGGGTCACACCTGAGCTCTGCCCTTTACCCGCTGGTATGACCTGGGCCAAGTCACTGACACCTGGCTTCTGTTTCCCCTAGTGAAATGGTGGCGGTGACACCCAGCTCCCAGGCAGGTGAGTGCTCAGCACAGCACCTGGCACAAGACACACAGGTAAAGCTCACTGCTGCCCTCCCATCTGCCTTTCCCAACCCGGGGAGGCCCGGCTGCCGGGCCCCAGTCTGAGGGGAGAATGGAGCTCAGAGAACAGCGGAGTGGCCAAGGAATTCTAGTCTTAACCCTACCCCTCCTCCAGTCAGAGTGGAGAGGCCGGGGCGTGGGCCTCGGGAATCTCTGGTCTTCATGACTAGTCATAGCTAGCGACGTGCTGGCCACTTCATGTCGCTATCGCATGCCATCCGCCCAGCAGGTCCTTGAGAGGTGTGAGTGCTATTTCATGGGTGAGAAAGCTCAAAGTCAAACGCATACTGTGGACAACAGAGGGGCCCTGTCGTAAACCTAACCGACAGTAACCTCACAGGGTGATCTCATCACACATTCCTAACTGGGCGGGACATGGTGAACAGTCACACCCCAGGCTCATAACTTCTTTAGCACAAGGTTTATCTCTGCCTCCGGCAAACCCTGTCCATCGTTTCCGTGCATCTAGGTTAACACACTGTTTGCGATGCCTTTTGCAGACCCCTGGGAAGTGGAACTAACCTGAAGGGAGCCCAGGATCTTGTTAACGGTCCTGGAGTCCAACGCCGGCCCTGCTTTCTCCCACCCTCATGTAATCTTCCCTCCTGAATTCTAAACGCATAAGAGAAACCGCAGAACTGTCATTCTCCGGAGCAATCTGAGACCCTGCTTCCCAGCACTGTCGTCAGTTTGGCTCAAGTAAAGTCTATTAAAATTCTCTACAGGTTTGGACGTTTCTTACATCGACAGTCCAAGTAGAAGAGGCACAACTTGAGCTTGAGGTCTGCCTGACTCCTGACCTCACAGTCTGCACCATTGTCGGGGAGACCCTACGTCCACACAAGACGAAAAGGCCGTCCCAGGCAGGGCCGCCGTCCCAGCAGGGCAGGACCTGCTCTGTGACTTGGGCAGGCCCCTTCCTCTCCTTTGCCTCAGTCTGCCATGTTGCCTCTCTGCTGGGAGTGGGGACATGACCACGAATCAGGTCAGGTACCCACCAGGTACCTGCTTCTCACCATGTGGGAGCCATGAGCCCAGGCTCCTGACTCATCTAGCACTTCATCCCTCACTGTCACAAGCAGAGAAGCAGAAGAGATGGGGGGCAAACCCCCCCACCCCCCCCATCCAGGTAGCCCTGAGAGGCCTGCCCTGCCCTTAGCCGCCACCCCGACCCTTGGCCACTCCCGCCTGTTTGCGGACTATCTGACTTGGGAAGCTGGCTTCTTTGTTCAGACAAGGAAGGAAGAAGAAAGTTGTTTTTCAGGCAGCAAAGCTCTTAGATAAACACGAGTTATCTCTCTCTCTATTCCTTCTTAAAGGAATTGGGTTCCTTCAGAAAAGAAACTAGATTCACCGGCTGATAGCGCCCAGGGATGAAGCGCAGCCCGGAGCCTGGCTGGGGAGTGGAACACTGAAGGAGGCTTTCTTATCCGGCCGAGCACCTGCTGCCAGCTCTGGCAGGCCCGTGGCTCAGGTGACAGGGCCCTGGTGCCAGGCCACAGCCTTGCCAGCTCCCAGGCTCCCGATGGCCTGGCCCACCTCCTCACCCTCCCCTCCAGCCACCCCCACCGGCATGCCTGCTGGATCTGCCAGAAGCCAAGAACTTCTGTTCACCTTGGGGTGACCCCTTCCTCCTGGAGCACCCCTCCTGGAGCACCCCCCTTGCCCTGCCCTCAGGAGCAGACCAGCCCCCCTGCTGTCAGAAGAGAGTTAACAACTGGGTATTTCCACGACAGAATGGCCTTCCCCACCTGGTCAGAGAGATTCAAGAATTGCCATGGGTGCATTTTCAGAAGGAGAAGTGAAACCCAGAAGGGGCCCTGACAGAGCTGACACCACCCCCCACCCCCACCCCCGCGACTCAGGGGCTCCCTGGGTCCTTTTGCCCAGGTCCCAGTGTGGCTCACCGGTGTGGTGTCATCATGGGAGCGCTGGTAGCGTTTCCAGCGGCAGCCGTAGATGCCCGTGAGGCAGGAGAGGCACAGCTGGGGCTCGTAGTACTGCAGGGGCTGGTGCCTTACCATGCTCGTGCCCGAGGCCCTGGTGCCCGGCCCTCAGGAGCCCATGGGGGCCCCAGGCTGGTTCTGTGGGAGAAAGCACAAGGCTGTGAGGCAGGGGAGGGGTGAGGAGTCAGCCCCAGACACAGCAAAGGTCATGGTAGCCGAGGTCAGGGTGGGTCAGCTCCGCACAAATCCCTGTAGTGGGTCCCAGGCCCACCTGGAGTCCGAGGCCCACCCTGCAGGTCTCCCAGGACGGCCACCTGCCACCCTCCCCTGATCTAATCCCCCGCTCAGCCACACTGGCCAGCACACTGCTACTGCCTCCTCTGCCTGGAAGGCTCTTCCCTTAAGTACCCGCATGGTTCCCTCCTTCCCCTCCTCCCCTCAGGTCTTTGCTCAAATATCTGTCTCAACCAGACGTCCCAGGTCATCTTCCGTAAAACTGCAACCCCTTCCCCTACCGCTCAGCCATTTTTAGCTTTATTTTCTCAATCATAATTTACTTTTTTTGTTTCTCATCTGCCTATCCCACTATGATGTACGTTTCATAAAGGCAAGGATTTTGTCTGCTTTATTCTCTGCTATATGCCCAGTAACTGGAACAGAGCCTAGCACACAGAACTTTCCAAATAAATATTTTGAAATAAATTATCATAAAAAATAAATAAATTATCATAAAAGCTGACATGTACTGAGCATTTAAAATATTCCAGGCCCTGTGCGAACACTTTATAACCATCTCCCTGTCTCAAGTGGAAGGTACTGTGTGTCCCAAACCCATTTGACAATTGAACAAACTGAGGCTCAGAAGAGAAGGGGGCAGCGCCTGGCCTGCGGTCACACAGCTGGGTGCGGCCAATCTGGGAGTCTGGAGCCTGACAAGTTCAATCCTTCAGGCCCAGGGAGACCCAGCCCAGCAGGGCTCGTGGGTAGAACTATGGGATGTGTCTAGTGGGTTGAGTTGCTGCCACCAGGAGCAACTGCCCCGGCCCTGCTTGGTGCCCTGGACATACCAGCTGGGGCTCAGTATAGCCAGTGGCCATTGGCTGGGGCACCTCACACACCCTGATGTCAGGCATCATCTGACCCTCAACACCCCTGTTATCATGGTCCCATTTTAGAGATGAGGAGCGTGGGGCTCAGAGCAGCAAACGTTTCACCCAAGGAGCCAGGACTCAGCTCCTGGTCTGTGGATTCTAGACACTGGAGCCATTTGCTTTGCACCAGACCCTGTCCAAGGCTCTGGAGACCATGTGGACAGGACAGACGCAGTGACCCCTCAGGGCCCTCACAGGACTGGCGAGGGGCACGAGCAGGCCCACACTCGGCTCCAGGCACCAGTCCAAGTGCTGTCCATATCCTAACTCGAACAGCAACCTATGGCGTAAGTGTTATCATTATTTTTTGTATTGAGCTATAATTCACATGCCACAAAATTCGCCCCTTTAAAGTGTACCATTCAGTATTGAGCGTTTTCGGCTTTTAGGATACTCACGGAGTTGTGACTAATTCCAAAGCATTTCCATCATTTCAGCAAAAACTCCATACTCACCCCGTCCACCCCGCACTGACTCCATTCCCACCCCTCAAGCCCTGACAATCACTCATCTACCTTCTGTCTCTATTTATGTGCCTGGTCTGGGCATTTCATATAAATGTAATCACACAATATGTGGCCATTGGTGACTGGTTTCTTTCGCTTAGCACCGTGTTTTTAAGGGTCATCCATGCTGTAGCTTCGATCAGTGCATTCGTTTTTGCAGCTGAAGAATATCCAATCGTACAGATATACCATCTTACCCACTCGCCAGCTGATGGACATTTGGGTTGTTACTGCTTTGTGGTTGTCACGAACAACACTGCTGTGAGCAGGTTTCTGTGTGAACATATGTTTTCATTTCTCTTGAGTCAGTACTTTGGGATGGAATTGCTGGGTCATATGGTTTAACCTTTTGAAGAACCGCCTAAAGCTGCTTCTGCAAGCGGCGGCACCATTTCATATCTCAAAGTACTATCATTACCATCTCCCTTGCACAGATGAGGAATACGGAGCACGGAAGGGTTTAGCTATTTGCCGTAGGTGACACAGCAGAGCCAGGCAGTCTGGCTCCAGGAGGGGCCTTGCTCTCACCCAGGGGTTGGCAAAAGGTAACTCAGGGGCCGTATCTGGCCAGCCACCTATTTTTGTCTCCCATCCAAGCACTAACCAGGCCCGTCCCTGCTTAGCTTCCAAGGTCAGGCGAGATCGGGTGCGTTCAAAGTGGTATGGCCATAGGTAGGCAACTATTTCTGTATAGCCCACGAGCTAAGAATGGTTTTTACATGTTTAAAGGATTGAGAAGAGAAAAAAAATCAAACAAGAACACATTTGTGGCACATGAAAATGATAGGAGAGTCACATTTCAGTGGATCCATAAATAACGTTTCATGGGAGGCAGCCAGGCTCGTTCGTTTATGTATTGTTATGGCAGCTTTAACTGTAACTGCAGAGCCGAGGAGTTACGACCGCGTCCATATGGCCCACAAAGCCTAAAACGCTGCCTGGCTCCTTCACAGGGAAAGTTCGCTGACCCCTGCAACCACCCGGCCATAATGGCTCATAAGTGCAGCCTATGGTCGAGAGAGTAAAAGGAGGCTGTGGGCACTTAACACAGGGCAGAGAGGGTCAGGCCACGCTTCCTGGAGGCAGCGCTGAGCTGAGGTCTATAACATGAGCCCCTAAGATGCCTCTTTTCTTTTTTTTCCCACCCCCACCCACACCAAGACGCCTCTTTCTAAATGCCCAGGGGCTGCACCACAGGGGCACCCAGGGTTTCAGGCCCAGCCCCTACGTCCACCCCTGGGCCTCATTCGGGACCTCTGCCTCCCACCCCCACCCTCATCCCCAGCGCCCACCAAATGCTAGCCTCAGCACAGGGCGTCCAGTCTGAGGAGAGAGATGCATTAGGGGCTTGCTGGGAATATCGACTGACCCAGGGCCTCCTAATCGCTGGAATTGTGTGGTGCAGTCTCTGGGCCCGTGGTTCCCTGGGGAGCCATGAGAACATGGTGCAGCTGCTGGGAATTCTCTGAGTCGAGCCGAGCCGTGGGCTTGGGGGACATAAGGGATGGGGATGCTATTGCAGTCGGCTTAGCATTAGCTCCCGTGGGGTTAGAGAGGCCTGGGGGATGCTCTCGGCTTTACGCAGCCAGATCTCATCCAGTGCGCCCCCAGATTAGGTCGACCACCACATTGGCCCTCACGAAGGGCGGGGAGCAGCTAATATTTAGGAAGAAGCCTGGATTTATCCTGTGTCAGCCGCTGACTTGCATAGTGGCTGAGGCCTCTCAGGGCTCTTCCCTGAGCCTTGCTTTCTGAATCTGTAAAATGGGGTAACAGCCTTCGCCTTGACTTCAATAGGGACCAGATTTTGCGGGGAGGGTGCCAGGAGGGACCATGGCTGCAGTGACTGAGGCACCGCAGGTGGGTGTTCCGTAAGCAGAAGCCCACACCCAGGTGCCCCTGCCCTCACACTCCCTGGCTCCCATGTGTCCTCCACCCTTCCCTGCTCGCCCACCCCCACAGCTGAGCAATACAATCCCTAGGCATGGAAATTCCATTCAGGTCTGGAAAAGAGGGAAGTAGAACTGTCTGCACTGGGCCTCAGCCCAGGACTCAGCTGACTGTGGCTCTTGGAACCGCCTCTCCCAGGAAAATGTTCACACTGTTCATAACGTCAGGCACTCTTTGGGAGGCAAACCTCTTCTCTTTTCTTTCCACGCTCTGCTGGGGTCATCTCGTCCACTCCCACGGCTTCGGTTACCAGGTGCAGCCAAGGCCACCCAATCTTTGCTTCTCCATCAAGATAGAGGCTCCTGGCTGTCTCCGGGGGTGCACTCGGGCCCTGCACAGACACTGACCTCCTCACCACCCCCAATCTGCTTCTCATATCCCTCAAAGCCCTTTTCTCACCATCCCATTGGCCACTGCCCTGGGAAAGGAAGGCACTGGCCATCAATCCAAGCTCCCAACTGAGCGAGCTAAAGATTTTTTTGTTTGTTTGTTTTTTCGGTTAATCCTTACCTGAGGATATTTTCCCATTGATTTTTTAAAAGGTGAAAGATTTATGCGATCTGAAGATAAAACAGAGTATTTTCCATTGATTTTTAGAGAGAGTGGAAGGGAGGGGGAGAGACTGAGAGAACTATGTGAGAGACACATCGACTGGTTGCCTCCCACACGTGGCCCTGGCTGGGGCCGGGGTTTGAGCCTACAACCCAGGTACATGCCCTTGACCAGACTTGAACCGGGAACCCTTCAGTCTGCAGGCCGACACTCTATCTACTGAGCCAAACTGGCTCAAGCTAGAGAAAGATTTTTAAAGGCACATGATCAGGCCCCTCTAGTTCCTCCTGCCTCACAACTCCAGAACCTGCTGTCCCTGCATCTGATGGACACCTCCTGACCCTTCCAATCTCAGCTCAGATGTCACCTCCTCCAGGGAGCCTCCCCTGAGCCCAGGTTTGGTTAGAGCCCTCCCCAGCCTCCCATAGCCCTGAGCGTCCCTAATGCTTCCAGGGCACCCTGTGTAAGCTCCGTGGACACGTCCTTCTCCCCCATCGGATGGCCTGAGTTATTCCTGCATCCCCAGTGGCCAGCACCGGGCAGCAAGAGGAGGAGGCACAGGGCTTCCTGGACTGTACAGCCGAGGAGGCCAGGAAGTTCTACTAACAGAAAGTGCCGCTCAGACGCTGGGCATTCAGACAAGCTCCCGGAGACCGGACCCTGCCCCCACCCCCCTCTCTTCCCGCCAGGGCAATGGCATGACTTAGGATCAATTGATTTCTCCTAGCCACCTCCCAGGGCATCAGCCAAGTTGGCAAGAAATCCCCTACCCGGAGCCCCTGCTGACTCTGGGACAAGAGGTAGCCCCCACCTCTGAGCCCCACCCCTCAGCACCAAGTCCTGATTTGTCTGAATTCTTGGTCCCTGCCCTGAACTCTTGTTTGCACAGGGAAGGGCCTTCCAGGAGTCCAGGCCTGAGAAGCACGGAGCGCCTGCTACAAAGCTGCAGGGCCCTCTCCCTCCCTGATGTCCTGGGAAG